TTAGGCCCCAATCCCCGGCCTCACCTCAATTATGCCCCGGGACAACAGGGCACTGTGCACATTCCCCGGGACTGTTACCCCCGACAGCCGGACGCTCCCGTTCGCGTTGCGGATTTTCCAGGTGTTGCCCCGCAAACTGTGAACTTCCGCCCGGGTGGCGGGGCCCTCACAGACCGCGGCCGCCGCCAGCAGCAGGAGGAGGAAGAGAACGAAGCGGGCCGGGGCCGGGGACGGGGACGGGGACACGGCCCGAAGAGGAACCGGATCCGCCGCCATTGCCTCTGGCCCCGAGCAAGCTGCTCGGCGACCTCTGACCCCCCCCCGGGGCGGGGCTTTATTCACACCCCTCGTGGTCAGCACAGCAGGGCTGGAGGGGCCGAATGGCTCAGGTTCTTGTTTTTACAGCAAGGAATAAGGCCGTTTGGCCTTCTGACACGTGCAAGCTGGTGACCCGAAACAAAACTGGAAAGTCCTGAACAAATTCAGCAGTTCTGGCATCAGAGCTAACACTTCAAATTCAGTGACCCTCCTACAACACTTCCTGTTTTTGTTCCATCTACTCTAGTACCATTGCCCAGCATGTGGCCCTCCGCTCATGCCAATCGAGTTTCAAGAGTTCATCAAAATATTTCTCCAATAGCGAGATGACTGCCATCTCTACGACACTTTCAGGTACTGAGATTCAGATACCTGCCACACAGCAGCTGACAAAAAAAAATCTTCCTTAAATCACCTCTAAACTTCTTAACCCCTCATCTTAAATGTATGCACCTATCTCTGCTCTTCATAATTTTGTACCTCAATCAAGTCATTTCTCAGTCTTTGCTTAAAGATAACAGCCACAGCCTCTTTAAGCCCTCTACGTAGCTGAATTGCTCCAGCCCGGTAAATCTCTTCTACAGCCTCTCAGGTGCAAACACATCCTTCCTAGAGTGCAATGACCGCCACTGTACATTCTTAGACATTCACAGTTTCCGGAATTTTTCACGCATCTTTTCAGGAACATGTTGGCCTTCACTTCCACAATTTCCTTTTTGAAAGCCTCCCACTTCTCCGACATCGGAAAATCTGTGAGAAAGGCTCAGTTGTTAGTATTGTTGCCTCATAGCACCAAGGACCCAGGTTCAATTCCACCCTCAGGCGACTGTGTGGAGTTCACACATTCCGCCCGTCTACATGGGTTTCCTCCCATAGTCCAAAGATGTGGAGGCTAGGTGGATTGGCTATGCTAAATTGCCTATAGTGTCTAGGGATGTGTAGCTTAGGTGAGTTATAGGGGTACACGTCTGAGTGGGAGGCTCCAAGGGTCAGTGTGGACTTGTTGGGCCAAAGGGCCTGTTTCCACACTGTAGGAATTCTATGATCTATGAAACCTGTATTCCTCCACTTCGTGGCTCTAGCAGGATTCTCACCTACGCAATGGGCCACAAACTTTCAACACTTATTCAACTAGATAGTAGCGTTGCCAACTCTGGCTGGAAACATCAAGGTGGTGTCACCACCTTACAGCATCTGCCTTCCCCAAAATCTGCCACTGGTCACTCTGAACCCATTGTAATCTTACCCAGTACGACTTTTGAAAATCTGTCCTTCTGAAGAGCCTGTCATTTAAAGAGCTAGGTCTATCACACTGCCCAAGTGCCTCCCAAAGAAAAGTCTGAAATCCCAAGTTTAATCCAAAACATTGTTTTTACATTAACAGTAGGTTAAATTAATTGTCAGGCTAAAACGTGTGGGATAGGGGAAGATTACAAACTTGCATTTATTATATGTTAGTATTATTTTTTAACGCATAGTCACTAGCGTAATTCAGCAACAAAATGGTAGGGAATAAGCTTTTACAATCAGCAACATAGATTTGTTTTAGGTGCTATTGAAGGATAGTGCTTTGGCAGGATACCAGGGCAAAGTAAAAGCAAAATACAAAATGGGAAATAAAATGGAGAAACTCAGCAGGTCTTGCTCAGCCACAGTGAGAAACAGAATTAATGTGGAGTCCAATGATTGTTGTTTGGAACCGCAGGGGACTGAATGATGGTTTTTATGGAACCAAGAAAGGGGAATTGCAAAATAGACAGTGAAGGTGCTCAGAGCAGGGTTTTGGGAGACGGTGTTGCAGCATAGGACAGAAGTCTTTGAATGGTTCCACCAGATCTGTTACAACCAGCTGAGGAGGAAATAAAGACCTTAGTTTGACATCTTGCCAAAAGGGAGCACTAGCATGTTATCTGAAATTAGTGGTGAGAACAGTAATTAGTGGACAGCAAAGTTCTTTGGCACATCTTATTACTGCCCATAAATGAAAGTTATGCAGAGGCAAAAGTATTGAACACCAAGTTCTAAATAAGGACAAAGAGCAGTAATTTATATTAGGATACCAGGGCAGTGGGAACAAACCTAAACCACTAAGCTGCAGTTTCTTGATTCAACAATTTACTGTTCATTACTTCATTCAATTTTTTTGAAAACATACTGTCCATAACAAACTACCTATAGTTTGAGATGGTCAATTTTAGTAGCTTCTAAATGAATGCAAGCCATTTCCTGACTACCTTACAAAGAAACCCGGCACAGTAAGTTTCCCACCTCACTCAAATTAACAATATTGTGATAACTTGTGATGTGAAAAATTATTTCAGAGCCATTTATAGTTTAAGAGACAGCTTGAAGTAGAAAACTTAAATTTTGAAGTTTAAAAACATTTCGCAAAAAGGACAAAGGGAAACTTTATTTTACACCACACCGTGATGATCAAGAATGCACTTCTTAGAATGGGAGCAGCAGTTGGTTCAACAGCAAGCTGAAAACAAAACTGAATAAATAGTGGTAAAAGGTAGAATTTACAAGCCCATGTGGTACAGATAGGAAGTGGTGCTTATGGCTTTTCCAAAGAGCTGGCAGTTACAATGCTATGCGGCCACCTCCTTGGGCCTACTGTAATCTTTAATGCCAGATCAGAATAGGATCAGATTTGCACCAGAATCTCAGGATTAAAGGAAAATGGGCTTTCAATATTAAGTTTACTCAAACATTTGGAATCTTGAGAAAATGTAGATGAAAGCATTCTGATTAAATTGTTAAAATTTTGATAGCTTTAAGAATTTTCTGATTTCAAATTTCTTAATTCGAACACCATGCTACAAGAACCAGTGGGAATGATATTTTGTTATATGGCAAAGCTAGGATCCAGTTTAATACGTGACACTCTACTAGTCACAACAGAAATGGCTTGTGGCATGAATGGACAGGAGAGTTTCAATGCACTGTTTTGCCACCATATCCTTTTCTATTGTTAAACACAAATTACACCAACCTTCAAATAAACCTCTCCCATCCTAATAGTCTGTTTTGCACAAGCCAAATGCAAGAAATTACATTTACAAAACAACATTCACACAGTAATATGTCCCAAGTTGCTTCAGAGTCAACAAAGACAATTTGATACTGAGTGAGAGAGACTTGGCCATTTGGCTATCCAAGCTTTGATCAAGCTTTTCAAGTTTCTTAAAGGAGGACTTGACTGAAGGAATGTGAAGCTTAGGGTCTTGGCAGGTGAAGACAACCACCCATGGTAGGCAAAGGGAGGGCACAGATGACTGTTGATTCCAGTGAACTGTGGGGATGAAAAAGGTTGAAGAGCTAAGGGAGAGGTCATGCACATAGGTGAGAATTTTAACAGAAGTATTTGAAGACCAGGAGCCAACGTTGAACAGAATTTAGAATAAAGTGAAATCCAGAAGTTTCTGTTTCTGCTGCACTCAGCTCTATTCAGTTGATTCATGTCCCATGAAGGCAGGAACATAGGAACTGCTACTAAATTTGTCTGTTTGATCTACTTTAAGACAAATCTTACTTTACAATATTCTATTTAAAAACGATTTACAGAACTCAACACCAAAAAAATTTTATTCATAACGAGTCAAACTGCACTCTAACATCAACTCAATCTCCAAGGTGCTGCCAGACAGGAGTTTCTTTAGCACTTTGTATTTGCTAGATCACAAGTCAGGAGCAAAAATTTGGCTTTTCAGCTTGTTAGGTCTGGCCAAATGAGATCAACCAATTAATGAGATCATGGCTGATCTGATAATCCTCAACTCCACTTTCCTGCCTTTTCCCCTTAACCACAGATTCTCCTTCTGATCAAAAAATTCAGCCTTAAACGTACTTAAACAACCAGCCTCTACAATCCTTTGTGGCAAAGAATTTCACAGATTCACTGCCCTCAGAAGCAATTCCTCCTAATCCCTGCCTTAATTGTGTGACTCCTTACTCTAAGATTATGCCCTCTCTTTCTAAACTTTCCCACAGTGGAAACAACCTCAACATCTACCCTGTCAAGTCCATTAAGAATCTTGTATTTTAATAAGGTTGTCTGTCATTGTGCTAAACCTCAATGAGTACAAGCCAGACTACTCAACCTCTCAATAAAATCTAGCTATACCCAGGATCAACCTCGTGTACCTTCTCTGGACTTCGTCCATTGCCAATCTATCTTTCCTTAGATCTTTACTCAGAGAGTAGTAAGGGCATAGAATGCCCTGCCTGCAAAAATAGTAGACTCGCCCACTTTAAGGGCATTTAAATGGTCATTGGATAAACATATGGATGATAATGGAATAGTTTAGGTTAGATGGGCTTCAGATTGGTTTTCACAGGTCGGCGCAACATCGAGGGCCGAAGGGCCTGTAGTGCGCTGTAATGTTCTATGTTCTATGTAAGGGACGAAAGCTGTTCAGAGTAGTCCAGCTGTAGCCTGGCTAGGTGGAGGCTGGTACAACTACAACATTTAAAAAGGCTTCTGGATGGGTATATGAATAGGAAGTTGAGGTAGATGGGCCAAATGGGACTACATATATATAGGATATCTGGACAGCATGGACAAATTAGACCATAAGGTCTGATTCCATACTGTATATCTGACTATATTACGTATAGAATGGAAAGTGTATGGAACTCCCCCCCCCACCACCATGTTCAGGGAATAGGAGTAGGTAATTGAGCCCTTCAAACATGCTCTGCCATTTGATGATCATGGTTGATCCTCTATCTCAACACCATGCTCCACTTTCCATACATAATAGCATCCTATTTTAATGCTCCAATCTCCTTGAAACAAAGATCAATATTTAATTTGCTTTTCCTATTACCTGAACCTGGATACTGTGATTCATGCACAAGGTTTCCGGAATCTCTCTACACTGTAGTTCTGAGGAAGGGTCACCGGACCCGAAACGTTAACTGTTTTTTCCTTACAGATGCTGCCAGACCTTCTGAGGCTCTCCAGCAATTTTGTTTTTGTTCTCTCTACACTGTAGTTTCCTGCATGCTTCTCCCATTTATGTAATATTCAGCTCCTATTCTTTCTGCCAAAGTGCATAACCTCTCATTTTGCCACTATATATTCTATCTGCCAAGAGTATACCCACTCACTTTACCAGTCTATATCCCCCTCTAGGCTCACCAATTACCTTCCCACCTATTCTCAAATTAATAGCTTTCATTTTAATTAATTCTATTGATGGCCATGTTTTACTATTGATGTTTAATTGGTAGTTCTTCTCCTTCCAAGGTAGCCTTATTATATTTGGCTTTTTTCTTTATACATTCTATCCAATGCATTTTCTCAAATATATATACCAGGGTGGCCTTTCTACTACCTTTCAAATAGCTTGGTTAAGAATCTTTTTGTTTTGTTCTACAAAGAACAAACGCACACATCTACAGGTATTTTATCATTTATATGTTACTTAGCTTCAATTACATCCAACTTTGATTTGCATTTCAGATCATTTTAATTCACACTTTTACTCATCAACCTGTAAGCCAAGTTAAAGGCTAGCAAAACCATCCTGAGATGTTGTCAGCAACCAGCACTGGCTCTCATCATGCAGTGAGAGAAAAAGGGGCCATCTTCTACAAATACTGAGTATCAACTGCTCCCAAAGCAGACCAGCAATTTTGCAAAGCTAATTGCCTGAAAAACACAATTCACCACCACCCAACAAATATTACAATTGCTGTGTGGGATGTGAACAGGGAGGGGAAGAAGAAGTGGTGATGTGGTGCTGACTAGACTAGTAAGAGTCAACTCCCCCCCCCCAACCATGTTCAGGGAATAGGAGTAGGTAATTGAGCCCTTCAAACATGCTCTGCCATTTGATGATCATGGTTGATCCTCTATCTCAACACCATCCTCCACTTTCCACACCCCTTGATGCCTTTAACACTAAAAAATGTATCAACCTTTCCTGAATATACTTAGTGACCCAGCGTTCATAGCCATCTCTGGTAGATAATTACACTGGTTGACAATCCTTGGAGTAAACAAATGTTTCCTTATCAGTCCTAAGCAACCTATCTAGTATTCCGAGGCTGTGACCCTTGGTTATATACTCAATCGGGGACAACATCCTCCTTGCACATAGCTTATCTCATCCTTTTAGATTTTAATACATTTTAATCAGATCCCTTCTCTTTCCTCTAAACTGTAACAAATATAGGCCCAATTGACCCAATTTCTCATCATACAACAGTTCTAGTATCCTTTGTCTCAGCTGAGTGAATCACTACTGCATTCCCTCAATGGCAAGTAAATCCTCTCTAGCATTAATCCAGTCTCAGTGAGATCCTGTATAACTGCAGTAAGACATCCCCTACTACTGAACTCACCTCAAATTGGAATTAAGGATAACATACCATTTGCCAGCCGATTTCTTGTTGCCCCTACCTGTTTACATTCATTGACTAATGAATAAGGATATTCCAATCCTTTTGAATATCCACATTTTCCATATATCATTTGTAAACAATCTCTGCTTTTGTTTCACACAGTATTATAACTTCACATTTAGCTACATTATACTACATCAACCATGTGTTTGCTTGTGTGAATCACCCTGAAGCATCCCTGCATCTTCAATTTTTAATTCCTAGTTTTGTGTCATCAGCATAGTTGGAAATAGTGTCTTTGGTTCTCTCATCTAGGATCATTTATACATATCATGACTAGCTGTGGCCCAAGCACTGATCCTTACAGTATAACATTAGCAACCGCTTCCCACCTGGAAAATGGCTCATTTATTCCTTGTCCAATCAATTTTATTCATACCAATACATTATCCTCAATCCTTGTTTTAATTTAACCAGCAGCCTCTTATGTGGGTCCTAATCAAACGCTTGCTTGAAATCCAAATACACCACATCCACCGGTTCTCCCTGATCCATTCAACTAGTTACACTGAACAAAAATTTTAGTTAAACATGATTTCCCTTTCAAAAATAAATGACAAAAGTTGTCTAATCCTGTTAATCGATTCACATTGGAAAAATCCACTCATCTTTAACTCAATCACAACCAGGGATTCCATCAAGATTGCTACATAAAGCAGGTAGCAAGCAATGGTTCTTGAAAACAATATAAGCTCCTTTTCAGACTTGCATATGCAGAGAGAGGCATCATGAAGCAGTGACATTGCCCTTCTACATAGCTGCTGGAAATTGGGAGTATGTCAGTGTAATTATCTTTAGAATCATGACAACCAATGTCTGCCTGACCAATATCACTTACTTTGGCTTCAATATGGTCCCCAGATATAGGCATGAAGAGCATGCAAAAACTGGTAGAACGTAGCAAATATCTGAGGTAGAAGATTATGCATGTGCATAGGTAAGCTAAAAGGGCAGTGTCAATTAAGACCTGAAGAGTAAACACAATACGAAATCAATGCCATATTTTTTGAACAAGCAATGCATGATCTCAATTCTATAGGATCTGTCTTTAGTGGCAGTCTCAAGTGAAAGGTGCACAGCTGCAGCTCACAAAATACCTCTAATGCAAAACAACTTTTAAAGAATTTTTTCAGTACTCTCCAATTCTTCAATTGAGGATAAATCTAAAGCCCTTCTCGCCACATAAGAGCTGAGGAAAAAACATGGAATGCAAACAGCAGTGGGCTTGCAAACAAATAAGAAAGAATTCAGGGAAACTGCATCCACAGAGATCTGTCAAGCTAGAAATCAAATGAAAGCTCTAATAGAGTTTGCAAAATACCAGCAAGTCTATCACTGCTAATTTAACAGTATAGCATTGTTGGTTTGGAATTGGGAAGGTAGAAAGATTAAATAAACTGGGATTTAAAGGGATATAAACGAACGAAGAACAAATTGTTATCAAGAGAAACCCATTCTAATACTAGGAAGAAGTTCGAGAGTACAGGAAGGTTACATTTAAAATAAATGAAATCTAGGAACATCAAGATCACTATTGTTTATTACAGAAAGTCAAGGTTAGGGATGTTAAGTGGTATGTTGCTGAGAAAATTCAGTTTCTGGGATGCTATGCAAAATTTGAGAAGCAAATTACACCACACAAATGTATTGGGTTTGGTGTGGAATGTTGCACAGCATTAATCGAATTGTTCTTAGTTATGTTACAAACCATCAAATTATCCACATCACCTTTTCCAAATTAATTTAAATGCTCAGATTATTCTTAGGTATTTTACAGGTATCCATTCACATTATCAAGTTTGGTTCAAGTATTATTGACAAAAGTTTACATTAAACCATAAGCTATGTAAATGCCAAGCCCAAAATTAGCAGGTTATAGCTTCTATTTTAAAGTCACTCACTTGAAACATGCCAAGTTTAAGTCAAAAATCAATTGTTAATAGTTTTGAAACCCTTGCTGCATTTTCATTTTAGTGGTATTTTAATTACAGCACCTTCAGCGTTATATAGGTCTATAACTTTTAAGAGGTTACAAGTTCCTGAATCTAAAAAAATCTACACTTTGAAAAGATTTAAAAAGGAAACACAATTAAATGATAAGTAATCCTCCCTTATCCAATGCAAATGAAACATCTTACACTATAAAAACTCAAAAGCCAAGTGGTGGGGTGGGTTGGGGATTGTGTCTGGAATATTTGAATTTCAGGTTCCAGCTCAACTTCCATTAGCCAAATCATCATTCAGCAGATAAGAGCTAGTCTCGAGAAAGGGCAGTACGTTATTGAAACTAGAGATAATCCCATTACGTAGATTTGAATAACTATAAAAAAAAACTTTATACTCAGCAGCACATGCTACATATCATTTAAACAGTACACACTGCAATCATGTAAGCATACATCTGCCCATTAGTTTCTAACTATGATTTTTTGGCAAAGGTAAAAAAAAATCAATGTTACGACACATTAAGCATGAACTTGATCTAGAACAGAAGTCAAGATACAGGATTAAGGCATTTCACACCACTAGTTTGAATTGCTTGGCAAAATATTTCAAATTGCACTCTTATAATCAGTGAGGCTCCAGCCCATTTTTACAAATTATCTCAAATGCTCCACACGAAAGATACACAGCTAAGAAAGCAAATTGTACTGCATTCATTCAGGCTGCTCAAAAATTGGTTTATGCAACTTTATTAAAAAGAAAAACCCAATGAATATGAGCTATTAGTTGATCAGTCAACCAAAAGATTTGAATCATAATTCAGTGCCATGTAAGTGTGTTCTGGAAAACAGATTAACTAATAGCCGTATTTTTTTTTAAAAGCAGTACTATAAATGAAATTTACAAAAATGATCTGAGCTAATCCATTTGGTAAGGTAGAGAGACAGTAACTTCCATTTTCATTCTGCGCAAAACCAACAAAAACCTCAAGTCATTCCTTTTATTAACATGCATAAAATACAGCCAATATTTTAATTAATGCTGACACTATAACATCCTGTACCAATCCACCATTGATAACAAAGTTATGAGCATAAAGTAAATATGTAATTTTATCCAGGGAAAATGAAAAATGCTGTCCAACTAACAGCAGTCCTTTAAGGGTGGAGTTTAACTGTTGAATTGTTCAATTTCAGATTTTAAAAAATCACCACTGTTATAGCAATGAGGAATGCTTTTAGTCTCATAACCAAGTTATTGTGAAAGTATTGGCCACTTAACACATGCTCATTTATAAGGGAGGTCAGAGTTTCAGATGAATGATGAAACTACATTAAAAATTCAGAGAGCTGGTCTTGTCGAAGCAGAAGTACTAAATTGCCTTCAAGAGCATGTGGATGGGGGAATGAAAGATGTGATCTTATAAGGGGGCAGCCAAATAGAAAACCAAAAATCAGTAATTTAAAGTTTATTCCAGCTATAACGTAAGATATTTGAATTCCAAGGTATCACATTGCATATTTCTGAGTCCATTCCCGGGCTATTTTGTTATACCTGTAAATGGAGAGAGAAAAAAGATGTTATATTTTGACTAACTTCTATGCAATAAGTTCGCAGTTCACTCTAAATGACAAACAAACAAACTTTCCTGTTTTTAGACATGGACACAAGCATATTGGTCAAGGTAACAAACTTAATCACCAATGTTAAGTACAACTGAGGAGCAAAGATTCAATGGTCAGCCATGAAGACACTTGGAAGCAGAGAAGGTCAGTGTCAGTCAGTGGGGAAAGAGAAGGGAGGTGAATTGCAAAGCTGAAGGCTTAGATTTAAATGAGGATGCTCAAGTGGCCTGACTTGGTTAAGCACATCTAGAGGGTTGTACAAACAAAGGTCATAACATGATGCTTGACCTAAGCCCAAGTATGCACAAGGGTGATAAGGAACAGGAACTAATGAGGGCAGAATTTCGATCACCTCAAATTTAGAGGGTAGATGAGAGATACCCACTAGAAGAGCCTGAGAACAGTCACGTCTAGAGCAAGGGCAGTTCACACCAATGATGCAAGTATGACCAGAAAGCTCACAACTGGGCCAAATATGACACCAAGGATTCAACAGTTTGGTTTAGTCTCCAATTGTTGCAAGGAAGAACAATATCTAACAGGGCAACAGAACTGGAAGCAGGAACAGAAAGCAATAGCTTTGGTTCCCCCCAAGTGTAGGTATTTTTCTCATCATCTAATGCCAGATATTGATAAATTACCAAACTCCTTATCCAACTGTGGTGGAATAGAAAGAGCTGGTGATGACGTAAAATCAGACGTCAGTTCACAAAAATCTTTTCGCTTCAGGTTCAAGATCCAGGAACTGAGGACATTGTTGTTAAGTTTGCAGGTGACACAAAGATCGATTGAGGAAGTAAGGAGCTGCAGAAAGACTTGGACAGGTTAGGAGAGTGGGCAAAGAAGCGACAGATGGAATGCAATGTGGCAAAGTGAGAGGTTAGGCACTTTGGTAGGAAGAATAGAGGCACAGATTATTTTCTAAATGGGAAAAAGCTTCAGAAACCTGAAGCACAAAGGGACTTCGGAGTCCTAGTTCAGGATTCTCTTAAGGTTAACATACAGGCTCAATCGGCAGTTAGGAAGGCAAATGCAATGTTAACATTCATTTTGACAGGGCCAGAAAATAAGAGCAGCATTGCACTGTGAGACCGTATAAGGCTCTGGTCAGACCAGATTTGGAATATTGCAAGTAATTTGGGGCTACGTTTCTAAGTGAAGGATGTGCTGGTCTTAGAGGGGATTAAGAGGAGGTTCACAAGGATAACCCTGGAGATGAAGGACTCATCAGATGAGAAGCAGGTGAGGACTCGGGTCTGTACTCAGTTTATGAGGATGGGTGGGAGGGGAGGGGGAAGATCTCATTAAAGCTAGAAATGAAAACAGAAGTTGCTGGAAAAGCTCAGCAGGTCTGGCAACATCTGTGAAGAGAAATCAGAGTTAATGCTTTGGGTCCGGTGACCCTTCCTTGGAACTGATGGTAGCTAGGAAAATGCCAGTTTACATGCAGAAGATATGGTGGCGGGAAGGGGGTAAGGAGTAAATGATAGGTGGTGATAGAGCCCAAAGAGACGGAAGAACAGTTGGACAAAGGAGTAAATGACGATCTGGTTAAATGGAATCAGAGATAGTAGGAACTGCAGATGCTGCAGAATCCGAGACAACAAGGTGCAGAGCTGGATGAACACAGCAGGCCAAGCAGCATCATAGGAGCAGAGAGGCTGACGTTTCAGGCCTAGACCCTTCATCAGAAAATGGAGACTGGTTAGTGGCTAACAATAAGTAGTGTGTAACGGCAGACTATGATAACACGGCCTGATGTGGGGGACTGGGGGCTACGACATGGGACAGTTCAGTCCCTAAAATTATTAAGCTCGATACTGAGCCCAGAGGGCTGCAGGGTCTCCAAGCAGAAAATGAGTTGTTCTTCCAGCTTGCACTGAACTCTGCTGGAGCACTACAGCAAGCCGGAGACAGATGTTGGCCAGGGAATAGGGTGGTATGTTAAAGTGGCAGGCAACTAGAAGGTCAGGGTCTTTTTTGCAGGAAGAATGTAGGATTTCTCTTCAGAGGTGCTGCCAGACCAGCTGAGCTTTTCCAGCAACTTCTATTTTTGTTTATGATTTACAGCATCCGCAGTTCTTTTGATTCTTGTTGAAGCTTATGGAATACCAAGAGACTTTGATAGAATGGATGTAAAGGAGAAGTCTCCACTAGTTGGAGAAACCAGGACCCGAGGGCACAGCCTCAGACTGAAGGGATGACCCTTAAAAACTGAAACGAGGAGTAATTCCTTCAGCCAGCGTGTGGTTAATCTGTAGACCTCATTGCTGCAGAGGGGTATGGAGGTCACGTCTTTTAAGACAGAACTAGGCTCTTGATTGGTAGGTGGATCAAGGGTTACGGGGAGAAGGCAGGAGAATGGAGATGAGAAACACATCAACCAGGCTGAATGGCCTAATTCTACTCCAAGTCCTTATGGTCTGATGTCTCTGAAGTGCAGCAAACAAGTCATAAATAGGTCAGTGTCAAGGATAGATCCTTAGGGAACACTTGAGGTAACTTGCAGGAGCAAAAATAGTGGTCAATTCTCCAACTATTGTTCCATAAGAATGGAATAAGAGGCAGCCGTCCCAAGTTGTCTGATGACTGTGGAGAGGATTCGGAGAGTGGAGATATAGTCAGTTGTTTTGAAGGTTGCAGATAGATGTAGAAAGAATAAGCAGATAACTGCAAATTTAGATTTTTCTAATCAACTTATTCAGAAATATTATGACACACCTGGAACTTGAACCCAGGCCTCTTGGTGCAGAGGTAGAGACACCACCACTGTGTCACAAAAGCCATATTGTAACTGCAGGTTTACACACAGTTATTGAACTCCCTTACACTTGCTGTGCATTATTCACAAAACTAATGCTTTCAAGCAATTCAAGCCTACAGAGGAAAGTTTAGTGTCCTGACGTTAATACACATCAGGAAAAATGTTATAATTAGAAGTTACAATACATTACAACATACTTCAGGGGCAATTAAATTCTGACATTCATTCCATTCAATTCCATCATTTCCACAACACAGAAAAAAATGCACCTGCATTTCATGAATATCCTTAAACAGCATCAGGTATCATAGCAGTACTAAAGATTACGGAAGAGGAATTAAGTACCATCACCGAGAAGTACTATTAAACACACTACTGAGCCTAAAAAGCAGGTAAGTCTGCTGGCTTTGATCGTTTACATCGTAGGATCCTAAAAGAGGTACCTACAGTGGATGCATTGGTTGTAATTTTTCAGAAGTTTTTATTTTCTGGCGAAGTACAGAGGATTGGAAAACTGCTAGTGTGACACTACTGTTCAAAAAGGGAGGGCGGTCAGAAGGAGATAACTATAGGTCACTTAGTCTAACATCTGTTGGAAACGTATTGAAATCAATTATGAAGGAAGTAATTGCAGAACATTTGAAAAATCAAACAGTCACCATGGCTTCATAAAATGGAAATTGTGTCTAATTTATTAGAGTTTTTCAAAGAAAAACCCCAAATGGTCAAGCATTACTTAAATTTTAAATAGTGGATTGATCATCTTAAAACGTGATCTTAAGTTATGGATTCCGAGAATCTTCCCTAACTAGTAGATTCATTAGTCTGCAGTTAGCCCGTTTATCAGTCTGATTACAGTCATCCAAAGTTTTAAGCCATCAGTTAATTTAGTTTAGAGAATAAGGTTAGCTAATACTAATCCACATGAAGGATTCTTAATGATCAAACGAGTTAACTTGCACTGTATTTCCAAAGTACTACTAGTGTAAAATAACATGCAGTAGCAAAAGTACCAGTGCCATAGAGGTTCTAATAGTAACCTTCTGGCTGAACACACTTACTGAGATTGTGAGAACTTAAACTATTAAAATATCCAGTTGTGTTCACTGGAACACAAGACCCCAGTACTTTTGCACTCCAAGCACTAGTGTGAGTGTGTGTCACGGAATTATATACTATGGAAACAGACCCTTCCGTCCAATTCACCCATGCCAACCACATATTCTAAATTAATCTAGTCCCATTTGACTGCAGTACCTAAAGCATCAAGCACTTTTAAAAAATTTATTCACTTGTGGGACATGGGCATCACTGTTTGGGTCAGCATTTATTGCCCATCCCTTGTCGGGCTTGAGAATGCATTGGTGGGCTGTCTTCTTGAACTGTAGACTATGTGCTGTAGGACAACCCATAAAACCTCCAAAACATCCTAAAACTTAATATGCAATCTGGGATTATGCACCAATTGAGAAAACGCTGGTCAATTCTTGCTTCTATTTCTCCATCTGCCAACCAAAAATTATGAACCTGAGTTAGTTCACACTTGATCACTCCATAAAACAGCATGCAGAAGACAACCTTGCCGTGCACGTGCAACAGGCTTCAGAAGTTGCAAGCACCTTATCCTAGAGCACAGCATACTTCTCTGACCACTCCCTTGATAGTCTGTTATAACTATTAACATTAACAAGCACAGAAGTCAGACCTACAGATTACAAGATTGAGAACCAGAGGTTTTTCTCCAATTCATCCACATGGGAATACGGATAACCTCAACATAATCAGCAACTCCCTTCCAACTTTTACATTGCCCTAATTGTTTAAAGCAAGTATCAGTGTCAAACTGCTATGATAAGAATTGGTCTGAAATACTATTTCTTCTCCAGATACTGCCGTACTCGCCAAATGCTTTATTTATATTTTGTTTTACTTCAACCTCCAGTATCCACGGTACTTTGAGTTTCTTTAACATCATATACACATGACACATAAATTCTGCTTCCACATAGAACAGTTAACAAAAGGGTATATTAATTTGTTGCTCATTACTTTACACTCCAACTTATCCAACAGGATAGCTGCCTTTACAGGTAAATCAAGATATACTTTTACCCGAGGCACAGAACAACTTGAAAAGGCCAAAGAAAAATGAAAATAACAGGGTCACTCTTCAAAACAAATATGCTATTCCATAAGAAAGCAGGGATCACACATTGCCAAAGTCTGGACTGCAGAATACCTCATCTCTCACTGCACAAATGCTCATGACCTCTGCAGAGCAGAGGAGGGGGAAAAAGAGAAATGATTATGGAAATATAACCAAACCCTTTTCTACTCTTCCCAAACTCAAATGATCTCTCCTTAGCCTCTAAGGCTGACAAAATCAGGCATGTGAACTTAAAATGTTGCAAAGAAATGATTATTTATTCAGCAGTAAACTGATAACAGTATCAATGGTTATATAACCAGCCATAATCAAGCATTCTGGACAAATGATCAGAAATAGGAGTTCAACACACACTATGGGAACTGAGAACCCTAAGTTTGGAAAGAAAAAAGTTTGTACACCACAGATAATAGTGATCAAAGCACTACCAGATTAAAAATACATACTCACTCATGTCCTTTAGGATGTGGAATCTACCATACTTAAATATGGCCTAAATGTAACTCCAGACCCATAGTAATTTGGTTGGCCCTTGATTTTAACTATGTCATTTTTTTTAAATTTAAAAATAATGATTGGTTTATCACATTAAATCTGTGATAATGGCCACGAGTACGGTCTGTTAGAAGAAAAAAAGACCGACAAGTTTGAATTAACATTGATAAAACCTGATTAACAGACTTAAAATAGAAAACAGAAGGTGCTGGAGAAACTCAGGTTGGGCTGCATCCATGGAGAGGGAAGAACAATTAATGTTTCAAGTCCCATGACACCACCTCTTTGAAACTGGTTCTAAAGAAGTGTCATGGGACTTGCCACGTTAAGTGTTTTGCTCTCCGCTAATACTGCCAGATCTGCTGGATTTCTCCAGCACTTTCTATTTTATGTCAGATTTCCAGCATCCATAGTTTTTTGCGTTTACTTAATAGACTTAAAACTTTAAAGAATTTGACAAAACATCTAATTTAGCATTACCTACACAATCCAGTTAACACTGCCAGAATCCACAGCATCCATTATCCAAGAACACTAGCCAGACTCCATGTAGACAATCACTGGTCATTCTCAGGGTTACCAGCTGTCTTTAGCTTAATCTAAAGCACAGCATTGAAAGGATTTAGTGTGCTGCTTCCAGTTAATGTCCATGCCAGATACTAGCAATCAGCATTAGCTCAAACTCATCTAACCCTTCTCTGTTTTGTCCCAATATTTAAATAAGTGCCTGCTTGAAAGTACTGTCTAACTTCTGGACATTAACAAAATGGTAAAGGGTGGTCCTTTGAAAGCATAATCTCTTTTCACTTGCTACTGGTGTACGTCATACAGTTTGGGAAGTTTTGGACAGCAGATTGCATTATAGCCATTAGGCTAGTAGTACCTGTTCCCAACAGGAATGCCTTGAAGCAGATGAGCAAACAGATCCTCCTTACAATTCCATATCAATTTCATAAATCAAACATGTTAAAATGGTAACAAAAGCAAAGTTGCTGGTAAAGCTTAGCAGGTCTGGCAGCATCTGTGAAGGAAAAAACAGTTAACTTTTCGGGTCC